CTATGAAAACATAGTTCAGAAAAGCCCAGGGATTAATGGAGTGAATGATATTTCTTTTGTATGGTGGTTCATACATCTTTTTTGGTCATGGATCCCTTGGAATATCTGAAGAAAGGTGTGGATCCTTGTTTAAAAAATATACACACAGAATTGGCACATACACATAAAATTTAACACGCTATTTTAGGACTTCATTGATTTCCCACCTGCCTGAAGACTACTGCTTAGCAGTCATCTCTACAATGGGGGTGAACCTACCTCAAGAGAGAGCCCTGGTGGCACTGTGGCTAAAGTGCGCAGATGCTGACCTCAAGGGCTGTGCAAAGTGATCCACTGGCATATGAGAGCTTCTATTTATGCTTATTTTCTGTTTTTTAGTTTTTAAAAAATCTCTGTGTAGGTTTTATATTACACAAAATATAGTAGTTGTATAATACATGCATAACATGTATATACAAATAAAAAAAATTAGTTGTGAGAGCTCAAATTTTTGCTGATATGGAGGCACAACTGAACAATTAATAGACTACCAATTTAGAGAGTTAAAAAAAAAAAAAACCAAACTCATTGCCATCAAGTTGATTCTGACTCATAGCATGTTTCCGAGGCAGTAAATTTTTATAGAATAGATTGCCCAATCTTCCTTCTGCAGAGTGGATGGTGGGTTTGAACCACCAGCCTTCTGGTTAGCAGTCAGAATCCTTAGGCACTATGCTAGGCTCTGCTTTCCCTAAATTGGAAGGCTAGTCATAGGAAGTTAAATTAAGAGGTGACTGTCAGTGACTGAAAATTTTGGATTTAGGAATGATGGCAAGTAATATCTGCCCACACTTTACTAAGTGCTTCTATACATGATTCATTTGGTCTTCCCAACAGTTCTGTGAGATAAGTAGAACAGGGCTATGAATGGAAACTGATAGGCATAGCAGTTATGGGAATGAAAACTGATAGGTACTGTAGGCACGAGAATGGAAATCTCTGAAAGAAGATATGTTAACCAAATTGTCAGATAATTTATGAGACTTTCCCAGGGGACCTTAGCTAGTCAGTTGTGGAGTTGGTGCTCATAACTCTGGTGGCTGACCTACAAATTATGTGTTCGTTTGACTGGACTGCAGGGATAAGTCAATCATTATGGGCTGTCTATGGCCTCATTGCTGCTATTACTGGTGCTCCCCCAGGATTCTGAGTTGTTGAATCCTGGCTGATCCAAGCACAGGGATAGAAAACATATTTTAGCTTCTTGATCAGAGGGCCAGGAAACTGAACTAACAATTCAAGCATTAGCTCTCTCCTGTTGGTACTGTAATACAAACATATTTCAAAACAGATAGAGGACTCTGAAAAGGTTTAGATACATCTATGTTCAAAAAAAGATTTACAATAGGTTATTAAATGGAAGATCTGAGGCTGGCTTCTTGAGAAGAGCCAACCACTCTTTCTCCCAAATTTCCCCTGGTACCACTGTCAAAGACAAAATTCTCATCTAGATAGATTATTGTTCTGACCCAAAATGACATTTCCAACTTTTCTTATATATAATCCAATTTCTGGACTTCCTCTTCAGTAATATTATGTGGAATAGCATAAAAAGGTCTTTTGGCATTCAAAATAATAAATGTATTCAGCATTGCTCAGGTATCTTTGCTCTTTGCCAGTGCATTAGCTGTATTGATTTTAGAATTTTAAATGACCCTTTTTACCAGACTTGATTAATATCTCCTCCCCAGGTCTTGGCTACCTGCTCCTCCTCTCTCCCAATGTAGTCTTCTTCCTTTTCATGCTTGTACAAGTTAGAGGTGGTTGACCTTTATACAACCAAGTGTTGGGAAATGTTGCCAGGATTGCCCCTTGGCCCTGGTGATTAGTCTCAAAAGAGGGGACTGGTCATGGAAGGTTCAAGCTTTAGATATGTTGCTCTCTGTCCATTTTTCTGGCCCAGATCCTGGGAACACCCACAGTGGAACCTCCTGGTTTGGTAAGTACCAAACTGTTGTTATATATGGTTTCCAGAGGAGAAGCTTTTAGCTAAGTAGGAAGTTTGAAGGACAAGTGAGATCTCTAGCAAGAGACGGCCAGCTCAATCCAAATATCACTAACTGCATGAGACTAAGGTTAATTTTGTGAGATTCCCTCTAATTAATTAATGTTGTCCTTGCTATCCTCAGAGAATACTTTGTTCATGATTCTGTTCACACATTACTTTATTCTGTATCTGCCAATGAACTGTGAGATCCTTGAGTAAGTACTATGCCGCCTGGTACATCTTGTACACCCCTCCCCAGTGTCCAGTAGCCTGGTTGGCACATGGCAGTGCTGACCCTTAGGCTAGGACTGTCCTTCTCTTTCAAGAAATGGGTGGGTGGAAGGTTGACTATTCTGTCCCTGGAGATGATCATTCCTTAACCTGGATTGTTTCCACTTGTTTACTGTTTACTTGTTTTTATAATATTTTAAAAGTAAATTTGTTTAAAAGTAAATTGTAAAATACAGCTGTATCACTATAAATTTAGAAAATGTTTGGTTTGGTTTTGGAGGCATAAAAAAAATCATCCCTACCTTACTTTAGTAATACATCTACTCTTGGCATTAAAAAAAAAATTTCCCTAGTTTTTTATGCATGTTTAATACTGTTCTAATGGTAGTGTGCTGGGATGCCATATTTTAAATGTAATGTAATATTCCATTCTAAGCATTTTTTTCATTTAGTCAGTTATCCTCATAAGTGTTATTGAAATTCTGTAACTTATTTCACTAAGTCTCTACTATTATTAGATATACCATAATTTATTTCCTCATTGTTATCTATTAGATGTACTGTCACTTATTTCATCGTTACCTATTGGGTGTACCATTATTTATTTAACTATGGTCCTGTCATCACACAGTATTGGATTCAGTTTGACCAGGCATTATTATTATCAGGTATAGCACTTGGCGCATAGTTGATGCTCAATAAATGGTAGTTTCCTTCCTTCTCATTTGCCCTTCTTTATACCAATCTATGGTTGATTCTTGTACTGTGAGCCTGAGAGCTGAGTTTATTTAACCCAGAGAGTTCTAACTGCTTACCATGGAATTAACCCTGGCCATCTCAATTGTAGGGAGTACTAGTGTTACAATCCCTGAAGTTTAATTTTCTTTATACCATTTGGTCAGGTACAATTTTTTTTTTTCCTTGTCAGACAAAGGACTTTGGAGTTTGCCCTATCCAGTGGTCTCTTAATTGGTGCACATCAGAATTTCCCAGGGTGCTTAAAAATACTGATTCTTATGACACCCAAGTCCTTTAAATGAGAACTGGGAAATTTTTAAGTATCCCAGTGTCCTGATTCAGGTGGTAGGAGTACCACAGTTTGATGCACTACTTGATTAATCAAGCATGGTAATTTTTAAGAGTTAATGTTCGATTTTCATCATGTCCAATCTTTCACTTTTAAAACTAATTGAATCTTGAGATGACTTATAAGAGGAGGCAAATATTACAATCACAATTATGTTCTGCAACAGGAAATAAGCACTAAATGAATCTTAACATTTTACTTGACACATTACTATGTTTAAGTGTATTAAAGATGTCATTGAAAAGTGCAGAGGAGGAAAATGAACTTGATTTGACAGGTAGGCGTTCATGGTACTATTATCCACAACTGTCTACTCTGATTGACAGCACACACATTACATCTTACCAGGCAGTATACTCAGTTGCATCAGATTTAAGTGTATGGCATTTTTACCGAGTATTTGAAACTGTTGTAGTTAATAGTATTAATTGTGCATAGACCACCTTTCAGCGACTGTTTCAAAGTGCTTAACAGATAACAAACCAAAATGTTTCTTAAATACTATGTATATTTGAATAGGGCAAATACTTCATAGTGAGGGAAAGAATCGTGCCCATGTTATAGGTATGGAAACTGAGGTTCAGAAAGGGGAAGTGCTCAAGGTCACCCAGCTGTAAGGAGCAAGGTCAGAATTGGAGCTCAGATCTCCTGAGTCCTTGTTCTGTCTGCTCTTTCTGCTCTACCAAACTGCCCTTTTTTGCATGGCTGCTACCTAAGAAGAGACAGTGACTGAAAGCTGGTAAGAGTTGCTATAATGCATATCTATATGCAAAGAGCATTTAAGCAAGGAATTTTACTCAGTATTTTCTTTTGGAAAACCAGACATGCTTTATTTCATTTTTTTCCACAATTCATTTAAACATCTCACATATACAAAATAGGTACAATTTAATTTTTTTTTCTGCTTGTTTGGAACCACGGAAGAGGATAGAAATGAGACTGGCAAAGAACAAATGCTGAATTTAAAGAAGAGGACAATGCTGGGCAAATGATCCACATACTTTTACCTGGGGATAAGGTGGAGAATACTGATGATGCTAAATCAAATAGGGAGAAAAATTAAAGAATTACAATACAACTCAACACAGAGAAGTATTTCTTCTCAAATTCTTCCAGCACCATTAACATTCTTCAAGTATCTGAAATACTGTTATTAGCACCTTTGCATAATGAACAAAACAAAACAAGTACCTCAGTTTGTCTGTCTAGGTCAGCACCTAATGACGTGGATCACACTTGCAGGAAACGTGTTTTGAGGTAGTTTAAACCTTTGGAAGTTTGGGTTTTAAACTTCCCTCCGTGGAAGATATTCAAAAGCCACAAGTGGTGCAAATGTTCATGGTTTTTATTTGAGTTTTTAATTTTCATTTTGGTTTTCTTACAAAGGTTGACATTTCCCACAATAGGTGTAAGTGTTGAAAAATTCCCAAATCTTTTGGGGAAGGGGAGAAGGGAAGGGAGTTTATTAAATCGTATTGCACAATGCTCTGATCAATCCTTCTTCTCTTTTTGCCCACAATTTAAGCAAGTAGATGTGCAGAAGAAATGGAAGGATTCAGCTTTCAGTTAAAAAAAGAAGAAAAACAAATGGCAAAGAGAGAAAGTTTTTTTCTTTTTTCCAGATTTCTCTTTTTGTTTAATTTAGTTTGAGTTCATTTATTTGTAACAGACTGGGCCAACGTCCACAATAAATTCTTGGTCCGCACCACCGATGTCCCAAGGTGCAATATCAAGGATAGGCAGACGAGATGGCTTATTTGTTTTGTATTCGATGATTGTCTTTCCCCATTCATTTGTCTTTCTCTGTTTAGAAGAGAAGAAAAGCCATACATAAAGCAGCACTATTTCCAAACGTAATCACATTTGAGGCTTAGATTTTCAAAGCACTACTTTTTGGCTTGCTAACATCTTTCTGAAAACGTATGTCCCATATTAACAGGTTCATCTTTGAAAAAGGGGCATCAAGGGTATCTTTATGAGGGAGGGCTTTCCAACCAGTCTAGTAATTTAAAAAAAAAAAAAGTTTTCAACATATGTTCCTAGTAATTTATTTCTAAAATATTCATTTCAGGATTGGTTTGTATATGTGTATATCAGAGAGTTGAGTGGGTATGTAGTATGCTATTACTGAATTTTATTATTTTTTTTTAATTTAAACCATATGATGGAGAAAGCATAGAGAATAATTAAATATGTTGTTGTTTTTGTTGTTATGTGCCGTTGAGTCAGACCCAACTCATAGTGACTCCTCCTTGGGTTTCCAAGGTAGTGTCACTAAGGAAGTAGATTACCCAACCTTCCTTCTGAGGAGTGGCTGGTAGGTTTGAGCCACCAGCCTTCTGGTTAGCAGTCAAGTGCCCTAGGCACTATGCTACCAGAGCTCCTAATAATTAAATATAAGCCATCATATTGTTAAGTGAAGGAAAACATTTATGACTATAAATTATAGCTTGGACTCTTTTAACCTCAAGTAATTTTAAGTTATGAGTATGTATCATTATCTAGAAACTCATGCTAAAGAAAAACAACTAATGTATGCTCATGGCATATATAACAAAGTATTTCAGAAAGCAAGGTCTGACAAGAATACTCTGGATTTACTGCTGAAATGGAAATATATACATTTATGAAAAAAAGTTTGAATAAGTTAGGTCTCCCATTCATTTGTTCACCCCCCAACTACTTTCCAAAATAAATACTTTCCCCATATTTCATCAATACTTACGGAGCAGCCATCTACAAGAACAGTGTAAGTGAATCTGCTGTTGCCCTCAGCAACAAGTTCAACATCATTAGAACCCTGCAGAATGAGGGCCTTTTTCAGGCTGCCAGTCTCCTCATCCATGTAAGCAATGCTGTTCTTGCAGTGGTAGGTGATGTTTTGAGAAGCATGGTTGGCCAGCAAGCGCATGAAGGCAAGTTGAGTGGCCATTTCTTTGGGTGTCACTCCTTCTTCATTATATTCAATCTACAGAGAAGAAGATGGGAATTCTTGCTGAGTGAAGAAGGACTGGGGCACTGATCAGATACTAATAGTCAAATTTAAAAAATTAAAAGGTACTTCAGTGCTACATTTATAGTTCGGTATGTTGTTGTTGTTGTTATGTGCCCTCAAGTCAGACCTAACTGATAGTGACCCCTCCTTGGGTTTCCAAGGTGGTATCACTACGGAAGTAGATTGCCCGACCTTCCTTCTGAGCAGTAGCTAGTGGGTCTGAACCACCAGCCTCCTGGTTAGCAGTCAAGTGCCTTAGGCACTATACCACCAGAGTAATACACTTAGATCTGAACCTTAGGAAAATTATACTCTTCAAGGAAATGCAATTCACTTGTCTTTGAAGTATCAGTTCCTTAGAATGGACATAAAATGCCAGGCTAAATCTAGGCCACCTAAAAAAAAGGAACTTGCTTAAGTGAAGTCTTTATGTGTATGTCTCTTCTTTAGAATAAGACAGCAGAGAGATAGAGATTCTTGTCTCTTTATTTTTCTATAATTCAATAAAGTTGGTGAAAAGGATGGATTAAAAAAATAGAAAAGCTGCTCATGTTCAGAAAACACCCATGCATACACCTGGGGCCGCTGGCTGGCCAGTGCTCTTTCACATGAAATGACGTTAGTCAGTTTCTCCAATGATGATCATCAATTAAGTCAAATATGAATAATAATTTTGAACTATATGGATAAATCCAATCAATCTGCCTTATAATGAAATCCAGGACAAAACTGGCACTCAAGAAGGAAGCAAGGTTTTGTTTAACAAGCTCATTTTTGTAAACAATTAAAATGCAGATAATTAAAAACTGAAAAAATATTATTTAGTAGAAGAAGGAATGTTTATAGAACTTCTTACCTGGGTACCACCATTGATGGTTTCTCCTAACCAGACGTGCTTCTTAGCCTTTGAGCTCCTGTACAAGTTCTTGACTGGAATGTTTTCAGGTTGGGCTCGGATGCAGGTTTCACCCGTAGAGAAATCACAGTATACTTTGATAGCATCCATAGTGCATCCTTGGTTAGGGTCAATCCAGTAGTAGCCTTTTAAGAAAACAAGACCCATATAATATAACTCTGAGAAGAGGATACCCAAAAAAATCAAACCCACCACCACCAAGTTCATTCTGACTCATCAGAAATCCACTGGGTTTCCAAGGCTGTAAATCTTTATGGAAGTAGACTGCCTCACCTTCCTCTCTTGCAGATAGTAGTTACTACCCAAAGATTGACTCTGATAAGTAACAATTTTGGTTGTATCGTTATGTTATGTTGTCTACCCACATTTAATAGGCAAAATTTGGCTAATTTTAAGATTTGACAGTTTCTTCCTTTCCTCTCTTCCCAGAAAAATCAAATCAGGGTGCAGTTTGCCAAGGAAAGGGCAAAATACACATATTAAGAGAAGCTTGAGACTGGGTGCGGGTTGGGAGAAGACAATGATTCTTCATTAAGTAAGTATGATTTTGCACACTGCCATTTTTACCCAAATACATTTTAATTAAAAATCTAAATGCTAATGAGGCTCGGTTAGTGGGAACTGATTTTGAAAAGCCTAGCTTGTCTGATTTGGACATCCCAACTTACCGCTGCTCCACTCTGGGTGGCTGAGTCTTAAGTCACGGCAAGTGCGAGCTGGGTTCTTCTTAGAGCCTTCAGGAGTAAGAAGGGTCTCAATCTGGTTGTTGAGGGATTTCAGAGTAGCATCAACTTCATAATCCTTGGGTCTGAGAGAAGGCTGTGAGCGAGGCTGGTCAGCCCTGTAGAAGTCTCCATCATAACCGAAGTCATAACCACCACCGCTTACACCAGGAGGTCCAGGAGGACCAGGGGGACCAGGGGGACCCTGTAGTGGTCAAAGTGAGAAAGGGGAGTCTTTTATTTCTTACAGTGAGAAACATCATTGATGGCAGTCCTTCAACTGAGCCTCATATAAAAGTATACTTAGTAAGTAAAAAGTCTGAAGTTCATGTAAAGAAATAGCATGCTCCCAGGCACACTTGCAGGTATTAGCTTAAAAGGCCCACTGCATATAGGCAATTTTTACATATTTTAGAAAACATACTGAAGTTAGACTGTTTTAGTATATTTTCATGTTGTCGAGCTTTAGCCTGAGGAAACTATTTCTCAGGTGAGTGATACCCTTTATAATTTCCCAGAATCATACTTACAACAGGACCTTGGCTACCCTGAGATCCACGGACGCCAGCAGGTCCAACTGCACCAGGATGTCCACTGCGACCATCTTTGCCAGCAGGGCCAGAGGGACCAGCAGGGCCCTAAGGGAGAATGATATCAAGTCTGTGTGAGCCAGCAGAAACACCTGCAAAGGAGCAGAGGCCTGGGTCTCACTGCCCACCTTCACCTTTATTTCAGAAATAAACCATCTCTTAGATTGACCTACCCTAGGACCAGCGGGACCCACAGTTCCAGGAGAACCTTGATCGCCATGTTGACCCTTTAAAGAAAGAAAAGGAAAATCACAATTTCAGAACACGTGTCAATACCTAGATTTCTTTTTTTTCTCAAATTGAATGGCAAAACTTTAGTTTCAATGGACTCTGGATTGAGAAAATTGAAAATGTAGAGTGGGCTCTTTTCTCCCATTATATCTATTATGTTCAATTATTATTATTATTTTTGACAAGCTATTTCAGTAGTGCAATATTAGTCATTCGTCTAATTATATTTATTTAAAGTGGGGTTGAAGGACATTGTTGCCAGGAGATTTTAATATATGTATAGTTTCTTCTCCCTTAACCCCCACCTTTTCGTGTTGGAATGAAATAGTGTTATCTCTGAAAGATGAAATTAGCCAGAGAATGGAAAATGGATATAATGTATGATGTTATAGAACAATTGCAGTGAAAGTTTGGGGGAGATGATTCTGAACTGGAGGCTGTTAAGACTGGTATGCATGCCGGATGGCCACATTTTACTTACAGCAAGACCGGGAAGACCCTGCAATCCATTGTGTCCCTTAAGACCAGGAAGACCTCTGGGCCCCTTGTCACCAGGCTCTCCCTTATCACCTCGGGGACCTAATGGGCCCTGTAAGACAAGAGAAGGACCAATAGGAATTTTATTTTTTTTATGGTAAGACACTCACTTTTCCATAAATGCTGTTTAATCTGTTTACAAATATAACTCAAGACATGCAAAGGTACAAGACCCATGTGGGAGGTACTCCCATCTCAAAACTCTTCCCTTAATCTGCTTAAATGAACTTTCTGTTAAGTGGCTAGCTGTGTGTGATTATCTAATACAAATAAACAGAAAAGACAAAATATATCAAGCTCTTTGTAACAATTCCCAATACAAACTAAAATTTTAAAAAGTATGAAGTCTAATCTATATATTATTTATTTGATTAATGGAAAAACAGAACTACTTCTCCCAAAATGTTGTTCTGTAAGGAAATCTTCACCATGTACGTACATTAGGGCCTCTTGGACCAACAGGACCAACGGGACCAACAGAACCAGCAGGACCCTGTGAATTGGAAAAGAAAAACACAACAAATCATCCACCAAGGCCATGACTCCCCTCCCACCAAATCCCTCTACAAGTCCCCAGGTGTAAAGAGATGTAGGAAGTGAAGCCTATGAAGGTATGAGCACTAAGAGACTGGGATTTATAAACTTACAGGTTCACCACGGTTTCCATGTTTGCCAGCAGGACCCACGGAGCCTTGAGGACCAGGTGCACCTGCAGTGCCAACTGGACCGGCATTGCCAGGGTAACCACGTTCTCCCTACCAAAGCAGAATGAAGCTTAGCCTTGATCTGGCCTGTATTTTAACCACTTTTAAATGAGAAAGATGAAGAAGTATACCAACCTTGTGTCCAGGAAGACCATCACGGCCTGGAGGACCATCACTGCCAGGGTTGCCCTGTGAAGACACCACACACATTAAGGTACTTAGTGAGGTCTTGCTGTTCAACAGCCCCTATATTTTGACTATCTTGCCTTTATCACTTCCAGTGCTCAGTAGTGAACACCCTTTTAGACTGTTAAAAATTACGAACAAAAACCTGCACACCTAGATTTTTTTGAAGAGGTGTTTTTAATTATTTTGGTGCAGTTTTGAAGTGTGCTCGTCAAAGGCCCATTCTCTAGCCCAAGTAAGTTTACAATACTAGGAGCAGTTAGTACATGTAGCTATCATGGAGAAACAGACCATCCAGTCCTGGGACTTGGAATAAGAGAATCTCAGGACTTGAAGTCGCACACATATGAAACCCTGCTCTTTTACAGACCAAGTGTTGGACTCACATCACGACCAGCTTCACCAGGAGCACCATTGACGCCAGGGCTACCCACACCACCAGGGGGACCACGAGCACCAGAAGGGCCTGCGATGCCAAGAGGACCAGGTTCACCCTAAAGAGGCAGAAAAGACAAAACATTTCTCTCATTGGATTGAGTGCTAATTTCATCCTCCAAAAACAACCCCAGTGGGAGATTCCAGTTTGAAGTGAGAAGGTAAACTGAATGTGAGTGGGCTACAAAATGAAAAGAAGAATCATTAGTGATACTTGCTCCCCTCCCATACACTGAGATGGTCAGCTTTATGTAGCTATGAATACTACTTTGTATAGAGTTGAGCCTAGTTTTGCTCAATGTCTCATGTGAAATGAATTCATAGAATTGATAGAGTTTATGGAGATGAGATAGGTCCTAGCTGCTGTCACATATAAGGTTTAATGGAATGATTCAGAACTTCCAGAGTTTCATTCTTCCTACAGGATAAACGGTGCCAGCATTTCATATTGCAGAGGAGTAAATGCAATTAGAGCTTATATCATTCTTAAGCGTGTAAAAAGAACAAAATCATTCTGCATAATGTTAAGCTGTGTCTAAGTAAGGTAGTATTAACGCTTCTTAGATAAGTGACATGCGATCTGTATAAAGAAAAATCTTAAGTGAAGTTATTCAGTGATCAATCTGTCACATTTGAGGTGGCAGCTTTTAAAATCTTTTATTATGTTAATGAGATTCAGAATGGTGTCAAACACTCACCACAGCTCCGGCAACACCTGGTAGACCACGTTCACCTCTAGAGCCTGGGAGACCCAGAATACCAGGCGCACCAAGGAGACCTTGGGGTCCAGGGGAGCCAGGAGGTCCCTGAACAAGAGAAAAATATGGAATATTATTGGTAAGACTTTAGGTGAGAACAGAAAGCTGGCCTGAAGATTGTGAGATTGAGCTGTCCTCAGTATGGGAAATGGCTAGTGCCCTCTTATTTAGAAGGACAGATCCTTGATATATTTTCTCCAGTGATGACAATGAGCTTACATCTTGGCACATATATTTTTTTAACTGGTTTGTTCTTGAGATCAATGGCACAAAATTTAAAAGTATGTGGTTAAAGTTAAGGAAGTCATCTGGGGTGGTGGAATAAAGTTTTTATAGTACTATTTTGACTTTGACCTCTAACCGAAGCAGGTCTAATAAAGGTAAGATTCACAATAGCAATAATACTGCATAGTGCATACTAGAGGAATTGTCAGCTTATTGAGACAGATAGATTTACAGGAGAATGGCCCCGGCAATGGGATTCTGACAGCAATGGGATTTTGTTTTAATCCTGGTACCAGTAAGGCACTGTCAACAGCTTAAAGGCATTTTGATAAAACACTGAGTCCCCTCATCTATTGCCATCCTTGTCTAATGCCTTCTGATCATCTGCTGAAGCTGTGACACTCATTATCTGCTGGACAGATTACCTGGCTCAACTGAGCTCTACATAAGAGCTCAACAAATATATGCTACCTGAAGACTTGGGTGATGGCTTTATTTTACTTCAACACAAGGTATTAATAAAGAGGAGTTTGAAATCACTTACAGCAGTACCAGGCTCTCCAGAGGGACCTTTCTCACCAGTAAAGCCAGGGGGGCCAGATGCACCTGTTTCTCCGGTTCGGCCAACTGGCCCTTGGTCACCACGAGGACCACGAAGACCTTCTTTACCAGCAGCGCCAGGGGGACCAGGAGGGCCAGTAATACCCTGTGAGCAAATGTACAAAGTTACTTTCTTTCTGTTAATCACCATGGACCTGGAAGAGAGCAACAGAGGCTCTAGATATTAAAATGCAAATAGTGTAATGTAATAAAGTAATATTCTGGCCATGGGGGAAATATTTAGACTTTCTAACATTCCTTCTTGTAGATCTATCTCCATTTTCCTAAGACTGGAAGAAGCAAATGATGGAGGTAGAGTCTGTGGCAAATTTCTGTGAGGAAAAGCCCTGCCATTGGCACTTTGCTATACTAGAATCAGAACTATTTAGAGTTATGTAAGAATTAGTTATAAACGAATGGAACTTTGGGTTTCAGAAAACAATGCCACTATTTCTTTTTGAAGAAAGTCAGTACTGGCATTTTGTTCATAACTGAAGAATCATGTATGCTCTCCACTATGTTTAATTAAATGCTTACAGGGAATGATGATTTTTCTGGTATGAACCTGTAAAAGAATTCCAAGAAATCAACATCTTTGTTATTTTCTTTCTCTGAAACCTTAACTGGAAGACTTAATCCCTGGTAATTAATTAAATTCTCTTGAGCCCTGACAGGAGAGTCTGAATCAGAATTAAATTAAGAGGCCAAACCACTTTTAAATTCAGGAACAATTACACCTTAACAACAGAGGCAGAATGTTGGCCATAAAGGGTAATTAGATATAGAAATATCTAATATAGGACTAAAACTGTTCTGTTTTTTTCACTTTTAACAAAAAGACCATGCCCTTAAAAGGGGATTGGTGTTTGTATGAATAAAAGCCTCTTAAATCATTATTATAAAATATAATTCGTGATGATTTTGCCTTAATGGTTCAGAAAAACTTATTTCAGACTAGGAAAATAATAGCAGATATTAGTAACTTGTTTTTATAGAGATTTCTTACCAGTTTAATACCAGATGCCAGGTCTTTTGGCTAGAGTAAATGGAGACATAGATTTGAAGTGATACTTACAGAAGGCCCAGGAGGACCGGTCCGTCCTGCGGCACCAGGGAAACCAGTAACACCCTAAGAACCAAGCACATCACACATTACATTACAGTTAACACCAACTCCAGGCTTTAAGTAAAATGGGAATCTCTTCTTTGGGAAATCCTCCATATACGTGACCAGAGATGGAGTAAGGAGTATGTATATAGGTAGCTGCCTATCCTTCTGTAGGGTATCATTTAACCAAGACCTGAAGATTCTTCTCTTTACATCTTCCAAATTAGCAAGCCATTGTTTCAATGCCCATATTTTGCATTAAGGCTATAATGATCCTTTTCAAAAACTAATATATTATCTGATGGTTGTAAGGGCAAGATGACATGCTCTACCATTATTACACATCATGGATATACATCAATAACCATCTCAAATACAAGGCTCAGTGCTAAGTGACTGAATACTCAATAGGTTATTTTGCTTATGGAGGAAGACCTAGAGCATTAAGTGCTGCCTAGTGAAAGATGAGGAGCCGTGATGGCACAGTGATGAAGTTTTTGGCTACTAACCAAAAGGTCAGTGGTTTGAACCACCCGCTACTCTATGGGAGAAAGATGTAGCAGTTGGCCTCTGTAAAGATTTATAGCCTTGGAAACCCCATGGGGCAGTTCTACTCTATCCTATAGAGTTGCTAAGAATTAGAGTTGACTCGAGGGCAAAAGGTCTGGTTTATTATGTTAGTGAGAGAGGAACTCAGAAGAGTTCAGTCCAGGGGAGCTCTGGGCTTCTGCAGAGTCAATATGGGAGAAACGGACACCAAGGACTTGGTCCGGCAGAAGAACGGGGGAACCAAGAAAAGGAAAAAGGACTAAAGATATATTTGATCTATTTCACAGGTTGACAACCTGGGGTCAGGCATGGTTATGACCTCAAAGGAAATGGCAGCAACACACACTGCACAGTCCCAGCTGGGATCTAATGAACATCCTGTGTACCTGGCCTTAATTTCAGTATCAGATTCGTTCTGAAAAGAATGAACTTGAATCTCAAGAGTCTCCTTATCCAGATTTACCGAAAATTTAAAAAACTTTCAAGTTGTCCTTAGTGGATTTTGGCTAAGGAAAAGTGTTCATAATCCATTCTAAATACTCACAGGGGGGCCACCATCACCACGACTTCCAGCAGGACCAGGGGGACCATTTGGACCCTAAGTGGAAACAAAATGACAGGGTCAGATCACAAAACAAAAAATTCTTATAAATGTTGCATTTTTCTTCAAAGGGATGATTCCCATAGCTATTACAAGCAAACAAGCATTCCAGAAATTAAAAATGATGTTCTGTACCACATAAAATGAATGTCAATTTAATAATGAGCTTACTGAAAAATTAAGAGACAGTATTTCTGAAACTTATATTAACTGTAAAACAGAATACAAGTATTAATTCTTACTTTTTGTCATCTTTTATCTAGTATGTTCTCTGGCATATACTTGACTGATGTGTCTTGAATGTTAAGGTCTCATTGCTAACTACAGGCTGTGCTGACCACTAGTGAATTCAACTTACAGCTGGACCAGCAGATCCAATGGGGCCAGTGGGGCCAACAGGGCCATTTTCACCCTTTGGACCTTTGGTTCCTCTTTCTCCTTTAGCACCAGGTTGACCAGCAGCACCCTGTTGGAAAGGAAGAATTATAGTTCTGGTATATGACTTACTCTACCCGCCAAATTAGGATGCTTTCAGGTTAACCTTCATTACACGATACTTACAGCAGGACCAGCAAATCCATTAGGGCCAGCAGGACCAACCTCACCACGTTCACCCTATGATGTGGAAGAAGTGATTTAAAAATGTCTCTGTTGATTTAAAAATGCTCATTGATGTCTAAAAATAGTTGAGACACTGAGTGTTGAAAATTACCCAAGTTTCTACTTACAGGGCTACCACGAGGACCAGCAGGACCAGCAAGACCAGCAGGACCAGCTTCACCCTAGAAAGGAACCAAAGAAGAGTTTGTTAATGTGCCCCAGATGCTCAGAGAGGTAGGAAGGAGAGAGAATAATAGTAGTCAGTGAGCTACTGTCAGAGTCTGCAGATGCCTCAGAAATGAAGACTAATATACATCTCACAGAGGAAAATGAAGTGGATTCTTACTCTCCTTAATGTTATATTTGTTTTTGGGGTTGAAGTGGTATAGCTTGTACACTTGCAAAAACACTATAAATTAGTGCCTACAATACCAGGAGGGGGATATTTTAATTTTTAGGTGGACACTGGGCTGATCTGTTTGTTGCAATCTTTTCAATACAATAAAGAAGGTCTATTTTAAGGAAACTGTTCAATGTGAGATGGGCACACTATGTATTTTACTGATTTTTTACAGTTGAGGCCTTTGAGAAGGCTCAGTGCATTAAGATATAGTTAATGGGCAACAGCAAAGACTTTAATACAAACAATAAAGATTAAAATATAGATTGGATAACTGTCACATCTATAGCAAGATAAAGAGAACTCTAAACATGTAGCATTTGTTTCCTGCTGCCCCATCACTACAGCTAAGTTTTTAAATAAGTAGGCTTTATATTGAGCCATAAAAATTAATTGCTGGGGCTCTCTAGCACTAGGGAAGACAGGAAATTTTAGATATGGCTATTGGCTAAGAGTTGAAACTTGGTGAAAATGAATACTTACCCGGTCACCAGTGGCTCCAGCAGGACCCGGGGCACCTATAGCACCAGGAGCACCCTAGTACCAAAAAGAAAATATGTCTCACTAATTACATCCTTGGGAGCTCTGGTAGCATAGTGCCTAAGGCACTTGACTGCTAACCAGAAGGCTGGCAGTTCAAACCCACCAGCCACTCCTCGGAAGGAAGATGGGGCAATCTACTTCTGTAGTGATACTGCCTCGGAAACCCAAGGAGGGGTTGCTATGAGTCGGGGCTGACTCGACGGCACATAACAACAACAACAATAACAATCACATCCCTATACTACCATAAAAAGTGAACCTGCTCATCCCTCTCCCTGAGTTTATACAGTAGCTGAACACTTTTACTGTACACTGGTTAGGTATCAAGAAAGCCTAGATGGATCTTAGCACTAATTATCAAGACTATCAGAAGCTACTCTCAGGAGAAAAATGCCCCAACAAAAAACTTATGGATATGTGTAAATCAAGGGCAGGTTAGGTATTTGGGTGATCTGAACTCTCTGCTCCTTATAAAATTCCCTGGAGAGCTGCAAAGAGTAACATTATTTGGGACTGGTAGGATTGTGAGATTCAGAGGAATGACTAGTAGGAATATGGTACAATGAGTTATCAGGAATGGTCCAGATTAGGGAAGCTATGTGGGAAAGATGAGAAGAAAACACCAAGGAAGCCTGTAGCCTGGAAGACCCATGATACCAACACTATAGATGGGATTATTAGTTATGAGATTATCTTTGGCATCTACCATGGTGTTAAGAGTTAAAGCACTTGACTGCTAACCAAAAGGTCAGTGGTTCAAACCCACCAGCCACTCTGTGGGAAAAAGATGTGGCAGTTTGCTTCCAGAAATATTTACAGCCCTGGAAACCTGATGGGGGTAGTTATACTCTGTCCTATGGGGTTGTTACGAGTCGGAATCAACTTGATGGCAGTGGGAATGGTGTTAAAAGCTAATACTTGGGGCTCTCTTTGCAGCTAATCTTTGGGGCTGCTCTTTGAGAGATAAATTCCCGTGGCATACATTTGAATAAGTAGGACCTTATTAGAGGTTAAGGCTTCTTAAAATGTAAGGAGTGTGTTTTTTAAAAAACACGATTTAACTTAGAACAACCATTTAAAGCTCCACTGAACCTAGAGGTTTTGGTCTGTAGCTTGCAGTTGGTATAGTTAACACCAGGGCAGAAAGAAAATTTTGGTTATGATTTTCAGTGGAATAAATTTCATTGAGACCTAGAAAAGGAATGGGATACTACTTTACTATACTTGAACCCTTCTTTTGCCAGTTCTATTTTGAAAAACTTCTCAAATTGAGTGAAATGGAGAAGAGATACTCTAAGTACCAACAAACAAAAACCAAAATTTTACTCACACGAGCACCATCTCTACCAGTGTTGCCAGTATCACCTCTGAGACCAGTCTCACCCTGAAATTACAAAGCAGGAGCAACTTTTTGTTTTCCACTCAGTTTTTGAATAAGAAATCATCTGAAGTGCTTTTACAGAAGATGCTTTAATAACTTCAGTCTTTCAACATCTTTACTGATGTCACTAACCCCTACTATTCTATATGCTGTTGAATGAGGAAAATAAAAAATTCAAGGCCCTTTCTAGATTATTACTAAACATTTTCCTTTTTTAAAAAAAAAAATATGCCTATTCATTCTTCTGGAGCATACTCAAGCAAGGTACAAATTCATGTGGACAGAATTATAAGGCGACATCACAATGGGCTGCAGTGCCTGATGACTCTTATGGCATAACTAATGCAGCAGCACGCTTGACAGCTGTTCAATATACTTTCTTCCCATTAATTAGGGCAGGATGAGGCATTATTGTTAGTGGCATTAAAATGAGCCTCATGTATTACTCAACACCATCTGTTTGCATGAAATTCCATGGTAGCAAGGAATTTTGCCAGATTAGTGAGTTCAGAAATGCATAGGTGCTAGGTGGCAGAGACACATATATAGAGAGAAATATCAAAATGCTGCCATACCACCTGCCAAGAATTGTAAAATGTCAAGACATCCTTGTGCAGACTTCTTTGCTAACGTTCATCAACACTATGTATTAGTGTCCAACACTGGTAAGGTACCTTTTCTCCCTTGCCTCCAGGTATGCCAGCAGCACCCCTCTCTCCTGGGAGTCCACTAGGACCAGATGGACCAGCAGTGCCTGGAGCACCAACTACACCAGGTTCACCCTTGAATCAAACACACGTGAAATCAATTATTTCAGTGGCAAAATAAGAAAATTAAGAATCACAACTCTAAAGAATTCCAATTTAAACATTTAACAGGCAGTATTCTTGGCTGCCTAGAGACACAAAGAAGGGCTTTGAAAGGAGGGAGAACACAACAGAGAGAGATGCTAATAATGACATGGTGACTAAAGAGAAGAGGGTAATGGGAATGGCTGTGATTGCCCTGTAAGTTGCTCCCAATCTTCTTAAGTAAGACAGGCGTGGAAAAGAAGACGCTAGGACAATGGGAGGCAGAGAATGAATGTGTGCTTGCCCACAAACATTTGACAAGGATAAGTCTCTTAGCCCAGACAGGAAACATTGAAAGAAGCCTCATCAATTGAGAAAACGTGTGCATTTTAATCTCTTAAGAGACTACAGCTTCCATTTTTATATAACATCATACAATTTCAGTATTTAAAACTTGTTGACTAGCTTGTGAGCTACGAGCTAAATCCCTTTGAAAATAATTTTACTGCCTCACTAACCATATCTCCCCTCTCCCACAGCTCTGGTGGCCTAGTGCGTAAGGCATTTGACTGCTAACCAGAAGGCTGGCGGTTCATATCTACCAGCCACTCCTTGGAAGGAAGGTTGGGCAATCCACTTCCGTAGTGATACCGCCTCAGAAACCCAAGGAGGGGACACTATGAGTCGGATTCGATTCCAAGGCAGTGGTTACAATGCATTGTGTTACATACTAAAATAGCTTTTAACAGCTAACTAAATAAGAATCAGAAACCTTATGAGTTACTTTTTGTTTGTTGTGGTAATCTCTTGTTCAGAAACAAATGATTTAATTTATTTAAAATCTGAATCATAGATTCTATTCTGTAACATCAGTTTTCCTGCTTATGGTTTTGGGGTGAATGTACTATACAGCTAATATTCATCATCTAAAATTTTTTTATTGCTGAAGTTTTATAAAATTTTAAAATTAGAATTTTAAGCTAATATTTAAGACTACTTTATAAATTTTACTCTATGGATGTTGGGAAGGAAGATTTTGATATAATGTCCAAATGTATGCGATGTTTTTAGATTATAACAGAGTAAATAGTGTGGTAAGGAAGAAGGAAAAAAAAAAACTGTATTGATTCACGTACATTTGTAGAACACTGTGATATTCCCCCCCCTTCCCCCATTTTCCTTTGGAATAGTTCAAGTCCACTGGAATCAGATTGTGATTTACTGAAATGAAAATCAGCATAGACTTGAAATAAATGAAAATCTGAAAAACAATTCTAGGGTAGAATGGGTTAACCAGCAATATGTAACAGAACTTTTACCTTGTTTCCATCAGGCCCTGGGGGCCCAGAAGGACCACGGCTTCCAATAGGACCAGTAGGACCAGCAGCACCACTCTGACCTGGGAGACCACGCTCCCCCTGAAATAAAGAGGTTGGAAGGAATGTTATAACACTCATCACACTCAGGAATACTGCTTTACATACTTGTTAAGGTTTCTAGTTCTGCCACCGATTAGCAAATTACAATTACTTTTGTTTCTGAGTTCATCACTTATAAAATGAAGGGATAGGATGAGATCATCTCTAAAGTCTCATTCAGCTCTAATATTCTGTGACTACAACTCCAAGATTTTTGCTTCTAAAATATAACATTCAAACTTTGGATCTCTTTTTTTTTTTGTCTTTTACTGTGATAGATCCATGGATAAAAATAGATGTCAGTTATGCATAGTATTCAAAGAGAAAGACTGTCACTTTAGCTGAATAGCAATACCAGTTTTAGGTAAGATTATTATTCTTGTATCTATGTCCTCTTTTTACAATCACATGCAATAATAGTGTAACAGTTATAATATTCAAAAGTATATGTGTGTATACACACACACACATATGCATGCATCTACATATGTAGGTTCTCTCTCTCTCCTCATATGTATTCCAAATTTTTATCTAAATATCACTATGACATAGCATTCTATGGAATAAGATACTTATCACATTGGTCCATATTGCAGTTGCACCTTGTTATAACTGTTCTGTGATCCAAAACCAAAACCCAAACCCATTGCTGTCGAGTCCATTTTGACTCATAGCAACCCTACAGGACAGAATAGAACTGCCCCATAGTTTCCAAGGCTGTACTCTTTATGAAAGCAGACTGCCACATCTTTCTCCTGTTGTGTTTGAACCACTGACCTTTCGGTTACCAGCCGAGCACTTTAACCACTGCTAAAGCTCTTTTAGGAGCTCTGGTAAGGTAGTGCCTAAGGTAATTGACTGCTAACTAGAAGGCTGGCGGTTCAAAACCACCAGCCACTCCTCGGAAGGAAGGTTGGGCGATCTACTTCCGTAGAGATACTGCCTCAAAAACCCAAGGAGGGGTCGCTATGAGTCAGATCCGACTCAACGGCAGTGAATTTGATTTTTGGTTTTTAAAGCTCTTTTGGTCTTCTGATAGTGACACTAAATTTGTTTGGGCTTCTTAAATATATGGAAACTAGTCACATAAAGGAATACTTCAGGGGAAAACGAATCATTCCAGATATTCTAAAGACCATAGACAAAATAGATATATTTAAATTCTTTATACAACCAAACTCATTATTTCAGCTTTAGACTGTGAACATCAATACACTTTGCAAAAATTGACTTTAGATCTTAGTAAGATATTACTTTTCCTTGGCTTACTCAGGTTAAGCCACTGTCATAAGTATATCATCCATGTCTGTATAAATCATTGAAAATAATACATATATTAATTCATCTGTAATTCTTATAAACATGCGGTTTTTCTTTTCCTTTTTTAATTTCTTTTTTTTTTTTTAATTTTGATTTGGGTGAAGATTTACAGAGCAAATTCACTTTCCATACAGCAGTTCACATGACCACAGTTTACCAACATGTGGTTTTTCTAATAGAAAATATGAACAATTAAACACAAAAGTCTACTAATAATTTAGGAATCTAACACTCTCTAACACATTATGTTTTGACTACAGAGGAGTATCAGCAACTTACTGCAAGATCATCAGTGGCTTTAAGGAGAAAGAGCTACTTCTTTTAAAAACACATACCCAGAAGTTTATAAAAGTTAAATAACACTTACTCTTGGACCAGCAGGACCAGGGAGACCAAAGTCACCATGAAGACCCTAGGCAAAACATGAGAATAAATAAAGTTTGGCTCACTTAGATGATGACATTTAAAAAGGTTTTGAAAAAGTGAAATAGAGCTGGATAAGTTTGCCCACACAAGTGGAGAACTTTCAGTTATATATGGAGAGATTAAAAAAAGTAAGAATTCCACTGCTATCAGCGATACACCAGGCCTGGATCAGCAAAATTAAGTTTCCCATTATTTAGTTTCATGCTTTTAAAAAAATGCCAAATTGGACTATCTCCTTTGTAATATAATAAATAATAATGAACAATATCAGACATTGCATATTTTTTTAGCTATATAACAGACTGCCTTCTTAATAGAAATTATCATATTCTGCACATTACCTAGCCAATTGTATACCCAAGTGTACCTCCTTTATTACTGACCAGCTGTCTCCTTAATGTGCCCCACTGTTGACAAAGGAGACCGGGCCACAGAATGTAACTGAATTGAGGCACATTCATCACAATTACATAGAAAATGACTCAGAGCTCAGGCTCTGATTGTGGGATAGCAGTGTCATGTCTGAATGCCAAGAAAAACATTAAAAGCAATTTTTCAGGCTCTTGTTTGATGGAAAATCAGTGCACTTACTTTTTTTCTTTGGGGAAGGAAATAATTTGTATTTTAATATTACCAAGAACAATACAAAAAGTCAGGCCATTAAGTGAAATATTCACTGATAGGTTTTACTTTCTTAATGTGATATGATTCATTCAATCCTTAAAACAAAGTAGTCTAATGTGAAATAAGTATCTTGGCTCATTCTTTCTATTCGCTCCAACATATGTAGAACACCAACATTAATACCAGAAATTCTAAATTTCCTTTTGTACGCTATAGTTGCATTCGAATAGGCTATTGTACAAGGGGAAATTCCTAAGTTTAGGTGAACTTACTATCACTTGTTTTACTCACTCTTTCTCCTGGTTTGCCAACTTCACCAGCTGTACCTGAGGGCCCAGGCAGACCCTAGATGAAAGAAACACAAATTTCAACCTTATAGCTATATTCTGAAGATGTGCTAATAACTGGGCTTTGGGGAGAGTGGTCTAACAGCAACATGATCGCTGTGTGATGTAATGAAAACATTTTCCAAAAGTCTGCACTAAAAAAATACAGCCTTTGTTATTTTATTTCTGGGATCATGTTCTGCATGGTGAGAGGGAAGTGGGATTGTGACTTGTAGCTGGGTAGTGTGAAGAAGGGCAGTATTTGACTTACCTGGAAGCCTGGAGGACCAGCAGGACCCTGTTCACCTTTTCCACCTTGGATACCCTGAAAGTGACAGGAAAGAAAGCATAAATAGAGTTGTATGCCACTATTTCTGTCCACCTGTATAACTTTTAGACTGGAAAAAGGAGACATTCTGAGAAACTTGTTACATTCTAATGCAGAAAAGAACAAGAGTGGGAAAAATATACTCACCTGTGGTCCAGGAGGTCCCTGAGCACCATTGTTTCCATCAGGACCTGGAGCACCCTAAAAGTGTTTACCAGAAAGGCTCATGGTTACCTGGGAGCCATGCAGTTTAAGATGTCTGAAAACCTTCCTTAAAAAGAGCTTGTGATTTTTCCATGAGTTTAACTCATTGTGAGTTCCCTGCCAAACCCCAAATTTTGTCTGCTAAATTTTGAGATGGCTCAAGGGAAGTCCATGGATAGAGGACAATTTCTAGAATCCAGAGAACATTACTACCATGTTCATAATTTTTAAATCACAAGATGAATAAGTAAAAATCAAATGCTTCTGTGGATATTTTTAAGTTAACATACATTCGGATTGGTTACAGCTCACTGCCTTATGAATATGGTTTTAAAAAAATAAAAGACATTTCATGATGGTAAAAAGACCCTTAAGGGATGGTATCTGGGAAAAAAATTGCTGGAATGATAGCAGATGGCCTCAAATTATGTGTGTTTCTTAGATGAACACTGTGTGAATAGATGTGGACAAAAGTCAGCACCTACCCGAGGGCCAGCAAGGCCGACATGACCTTTCTCACCAATTTTGCCAGGGTCACCCTATAATGAAGAAGCAAAAAATAACAGTAATTTTATCAATGTCAAATTAACCATGACACTTGTGAACTCCTAATTTCTTTCTTGCCTTTTTTTTTTTTTTTTGTGATTCCTAGTCCTTGAATTCTGTGATCTCAGGCATGATCCTTTATCGGGCAGCCCCATACACAATTGGGTGGATAGATCAATTATACCTGTGTCTGCAGAAGCAAACTATGCAGGACATAGATTCTCAGCAGGTACAAAATGGCATATTAGAGGCAAATGTTTAATGTTGTAAGTGGCCTGTCATTTTCTGTGTTGAAAGAAACCCACCTTGAGGTAGACTGGACTGAGGCAGAAGGAAATATTAGAGTGTTAGTGAAATGCAGTTAACAAAGTGCTAAGGGAGAGGAATTGTGGTGACTCTTACAGTGGGGCCTTTGGGTCCGGGGAATCCAATGTTACCAGGCTCTCCTCTTGCTCCAGCAGGGCCAACTGGGCCAGGCCTGCCATCAATACCAGGGAGACCCTGAAACCAGAGTTTAAAGTTTACTCAGCATCAACATGGCCCCATAACCTCAGGCTTATGGTGCTGCCACATGATGAAACAGAGCAGTTTTCTGAATGCATAGAGCTTCTTGTATAAAAGCATCAATAAATTGTAGGTCCATTTGGTTTTTCTAAATAGGATGTCGGCACATACGCAGCCAATTCAATCTCATCTGTACACAATTTCCCTCTTTCCTGTCTCCTTCCCTGCCCTTGTCACCAGCTTCAATTTTCTCTGCCATGTTTTTCTTTTTCCTTCTCTCCTTTCAGCACTGCATTCATTTGGGCTATGTAATTACACCCTATTACTTTGCATTCCCAGATGATGTATGTGGCTGGTATTTATTTTCAATGTATTCATGTATAAATAAGCCACAAAATAGGTTTGATAAGGGTGCAATAAGTGTCCTTGAAAATATAATGGAAAAGGAGCAATACTTACCACAGGACCTTCTTTGCCAGCTGGGCCAACATTTCCAGGGGAACCAGGAAGACCCTATAAGACAAATGAGGATGCTTTCATATTGGCACTTTAATTTATATACTCAAGGCTGAAATTAATTGAAGTATCAGAAAAGCACCTTTTCCCCCCTTTTTATTTGTTGCCTAGGACAAATCAGTAGGGATATTAGTCACTAGCTGGGACTTGTGAAAAGAGCTCTAAAATATTTCTCATTTGTATATTTTTTTTGTGCTTTTTATTGAATTTTGGTGCAAGATGTTTACAGAGATCTCAAAAAACTGTTAAGCAACCAGCTCTATGGGCCAAATGTATTGTGTTATTTATCTCATAATAGAAAAACTAATGCATCTAGTAAATAATTCTCAAAGTGACTTTTTTATTGCTATAGTTTGGTGTCTATGTTACTTGTTTATGGTGCGATTACAGTTGATATTCATCCATAAGAAATAATAGAGGCAAAAAATTACTCTATTGCTATGGATTAGAGTGTCTATGGTCTAAAGGTCATTTCTCCATAGCTAGTGTGATGTTGAATACATTACAGCACTTTCTGATTGTTGGAAAAATGATTTCACTTATGAATCTAATAAACTAATAATGTATAGTCCTAATACATTTCATGAACACCTTATATAAAGCTCACAAATTAAGATAAAAGATTCATGATGATAGGACAGGCAAACTAATTTAGATATATTAAAATAGACCTATTCTTCTGAAAACCTCATAGCCATTGAATCATTAGTAATAAATAGAAAATTTATGAACCAACCAAATACATAAATATATCTACTGAGTTTTGATAAAGTTAAATTAAAAATGCAGCCATCAGCAAGTCTACTAACAAATTTACTTTTGATATTTTTTATTTCTTCAAATATTAGCCAGTTCTTTTTTTTTTATAAAAGGAAGCAGTGCCAGGTGTGACCTACTCAGAATACACCTGAAACTTACTCGGGGTCCCATAAGACCAGGTTCCCCAGGGCGACCAGAATCTCCACTGGGGCCTCGGACACCAGCAGGGCCACTTGAACCACGACTACCAGGAGGGCCCTATTAAAAAAAAAAAAAAAAAAAAAGGAGGGTAAGTATGCTAAAGCTAATGACACATCCACCACCAGAAGTATGAAGTTTCTTTTTGGGAAATAAGTGACGGACAATCTACCATGACACCAGCTCTGCCATCAGCTCCAGGAAGACCACGAGAACCAGGACTACCCTGCAAGAAAGGACATAAAACAGATGAGAATTAGAGAAAACTCTTGAATCAGAAAAGGTAAAGTTCATTAAAATATGATAGGTATGTAATAAATTTTGATTCCCCTGAAGTGTTCCCTTGAGGAATAAACCAAAACACAATATCCAAATCCCAAAGGAATAGATGGATGAGCAATCTGCAAAAGTAGGTCAGCACTGTTTTCAGACTAATTTTGTAACATACCAAACTGACAGTTACTGATTTAATAAAGCAGATGGGCAGCAGATGCTTCCTTACTCTAGAAAAGACACTCAGTGATTTCCCAGTGAAGGGGTTCCATCATCTGCCTTTGGTGTATCTGGATGTCAGGAGCACTTGGAACCTACCCTCAGCCCGGGAGGCCCGACAGGACCAGCAGATCCAGGTTCACCATTGGGGCCTCTCTTTCCTTCTTCACCACTGGGACCAGGGGGACCTTGGGGACCAGCAGAGCCCTGTTTAATGAAAAGAACAACAGGAGGGGAGGAGACAGAATTTTAATATCATATCTAGCTAGACAAATTGGATTAAAAAATAACAACTCCATAAAAGTGTGGTTACAACTACTCACAGGTTCACCCTTGTTACCACTCTCTCCTTTGGAACCAGCTGGACCAGGCTCACCCTAGGATACAATACAAATCAGTGGTCAAATGACAAACATCTTGTTGATGCTGACAGATCACAATAAAGAGAAACTCACATTCTCTAAGAAACATGACTAGTTCGTATTTAAGCGACCTGCTGGGGGATGGTCTTGGTTGAAAGGACAAGACTGTATTGTAGAACTTTGCATCATTTACATTTGTATTCTAAGACAGCAGGAGGGATATGTCTCTGTGTGTATGTGTGTGTGTGTGGACTGTATCAACATATATACTCAGTTACATAAGAAATACGAAATGAAAATGCTAAGGAAGGGAAAAATAACAATAATAACACTACAAGAGGAAGGCTAGATGGTGATGAGATGGTGGCAGAGCTGGCATTTCAAGATGGTGAAAGGCACAGCCACAACTACTTACAACAAGTCCTCTGGCACCAGTAGCACCAGCAGCACCAACAGGGCCAGGAATACCACGGGGTCCAGGGAGACCAGGAGCCCCAGCAACACCAGGCAGGCCCTGTGAAGAAAAACATAGCTTCCATTAGGAGACAACTGGCTGTTGAAGCAGGTTTCATTAAAATACCTTTAAAATCACAGTAGCAAATTTTAGCCTCACTATATACTCACAGCAGCACCCTTAGCACCAGAAAGGCCATTGGCTCCAGGGTTACCCTATTAGGAGAGGAAGAGAAGGAAAGATATTAGTTGAGAGGAACATTTCTGTTCTCTGACCCCACCTTCATTCTTTCTCTTCCTCTTTTTTTTTTTTCCTAATTTGCTTCCTACCACTTAATGAAGTTTAGGACTTAACATCTACTTACAGGAGGTCCAATGGGGCCAGTAACACCTGGAAGACCCATTTCACCACGAGGGCCCGCAGGTCCAGAAGGACCAGGGTTACCAACAGGTCCAAGTTCACCCTAAAAGAGAAAATGACTCAGACGGATTACCCAGTAAATAATGAAACAGTTTATCTCGTTTTTAGGATACTAGGTCTTATTAAATTTCTTCCAGATTGTAATCATCTCCCTTATTTAATTTGGTACCATACAATCTGTGTTTGATTTTCCTAGTTTGGTTCTGACATCTTGGGTACCATTGCTGTATTTCACCCTACTCTAGTTTGGTTTACAACCCAGAGGGTTCCCATGGAATTAATTTCCATGTTACCATATACACTGGGCTCATAGTGCTCAAGTGCAGAGAGATGGCCTACATCCTGTTGGGGGTGTGAAAATGGTTCATTCTATATCCACTCTGAAGAGAGGGTCTAGTTAAGGTAACTGTTCTGTAATGACTTCTCTATCCACAAGCACAGTTACACAATATTTCACATCATCATAAAATGTTTGCTGAAGGTAGTGACGATATTATCTTTACCTTGGGACCAGGAGCACCAGGGAAGCCTGGAGGACCAGCAGAACCAATGGGGCCCTGAAATCAAAGCAGAAGGTGGTAAGAAATTTCTTCCCATAAAACACAACACCAACAAGGGTTCAGAGTGGTTTGATCTTATTAAATACTGACAAAGACAAAACTGACAACTAGTCTTATCACTAAGAGCTTATCAAAGCTAGACTCTCAGGGTACCCAAGGTAGAGTAGATTTTGCTTTATACATCAATCAGAAGCCTTGAGGATAGGACTTATAGATGGAATCCTTCCAAAGACCTCATGGTACATTTGGTTAATATTATAATGGTGTATTTTGTAGGAAATTATTAATAAAGAGGATAGCTCACATTCCACATTCTCTCAACCCCTCTCAAATTCCCCAGTGTCAAAACTTACAGCAGGACCCACGGGACCCACGCTTCCATCACTTCCACGGGCACCCTATGCACAAAACAAAAAGGAATGGTCAAATGAAGAGTGGAATGGCAGTTACTAGAAAGCTTTTAAAAGGGGGGTAAAAATGAATAAAAATGGAATAACTTACAGCTGGACCAGTGCCACCGACACGTCCTCTCTCACCAGGAAGCCCACGGGCTCCCTAGAAGTAGAAACATTTTCAATAAAATCCAGAATGCTAATTTTGAAAAAGTCACAGGCATCATTTGGTTTGTCCAATTTCCAGTATGTGCTAGAATCCACTAGAAATAAATAGGTCTTGCTCTAATTCCAACTAAAAGGTAATGGATTTCAATTAAGTATGCAGAAGGCTATTAGAAAAATATCAAGGAATACAATGCCAGGAGAAGTGGTAACTAGCAAAAACATTGAAGTAGTTCCAGCTAGAAGAGTGTACACATTCTGTTATTTAATAATCAATACTTACTGCTTGGCCTGGAGTTCCATTTTCACCAGGAGCACCAGGTTCACCCTATGTGGAAAACAAGGATTGAAGTTTTTGTTCGTTATATATATTGATTTTTTTTCTCATTGTGTCAGTTTTTACCCTATTATTACAATTTTAACTATCCATATATATTGTAACGTCTCTTACACATATGAACTGTTTCTCAACCATGCCAAATGCATAAATAAAAAATAAATTGGCTAAAACATGGATTTTGATTTAGTCAATACCACAAACTATGTACTAGGAAGGTGTGATTATTTGAGTGTCACTTCTCCCTCCTCAATTTTCCACTTAGATTTTACTTATCAATTAGATGAGGTTTATGTATTAGAAACGATATAAAAATAGATGGCAAAGGATAAAATTGCATTCAATATAACCTTATTTACCCTCTTTAAAGTTATTTTGAACATTCAACATTTTTATTTTGATGAAACATGCATAAAAATATGAAGCTTCATAGTAGTTTTCAGAGCTTTCATGGGCTGCCACAGAAGTGGGCAACGTTTTATTCTGTTGTACATAGGTCAGAGCTGATTCGATGGCATCTGACAATGACAACAACAACAACCACCACCACCACCCTGTTTCATGGAGAAAAAACATTGGGGGTAGCATTTTGGTTTGGTTATACACTATGGAAGATATTAAAAGATATCTTTTGAGATAATCTGATTTTGATATAGAAGAAACATGGTCTGAGACACCACTTAAGGGCCCCTCATTTCTAGTATTCTTTGGGAGTACTAGAAGAATCAGGAGACGTAGCCTATGCCCTTCTAATTACTAGATGTGTGGTGCTGGGCCTGTCACTTGCCGTCTCTGAGCCTCTGTTTTCCTCATCTGCAAAATGATGGCATCTCCAAAGCTCTTTGCAGCTCTAACACTTTATGATGCTGTGATTAGTAGTCTGAGCTATTATAGTGGGCTCCTGGGAGAATGAGTTTGACCTTATCCATTTGTGTGGCAGCTGGAAAGTTAGAACAGATTCTCCATATTCATGTTCATTTCTGGTCCCACTAGTATTTGTTACTCATTAATTTGTAATTACGTTGGTATTCACTTTAATATCACATTATCTCCTTAATAGGAAAGGGAACATTTTATAGTTTAAAACGATGTCATAGAAGAGCCTAGCCAAGAGATAACACACTTCTGAGACTTTAATTACCTAATTAAAAATTTTTTGAGTGTGCACAGATAAATCACAGGAAAAAAGGTTGAAAAGAGTTTTGTGACATGAATGTACCTACCTAATTAACGCATGGCAAGGGAGAACTTAAAGTTTAAAATAACACATCATGTTATAATAGCTGATTGTGTGTTTATTTACTTTTATTTTGGCTGCAGAGACCAATTGAAATTGCAAAACCAGGAAAATAAATGGAGGAAGAAACTATTGGTATTATTTTTAATGACAATTGTTTCAACAGATATTGAATTAAACAAAATTATTAGTAATTGGCCTTTTGTCACAAAGTATCATAGTCCTCACTACGAAGAGATTTGCATCGTAGAAGAGGAAGTAAGGTATTTTTTACATTATAGGTAGTCCTCAACAAACATACTTTTTTGGTGGTGGGGTGCGGGGTACTTCAATCAATCGCTTCATAAACAATGCTTCCAATTTACCTTCACACCTGGAGCACCAGGCTGTCCTTTTAATCCATCCAGACCATTGTGTCCCTGAAAAGTAAATCCTTATTATTAACAAGCTGTTCCACTCTAGTCTTTGGTCAAATAAAACACTTTATAGCTTTGCAATGAATCTCTTCTGTGATGGAGCTCATGACCGCCCCACTTTACTTTCAAGTGACCTTACCCTTTAAGGTGAGGGTAAGGTCTCTCCACTCTAGCAAACTCCAGGAATCTTGAAGCAAGTATTATCACTCAAAAGTTTAAATGC